TTGAGCGTGAAACTAAAAACATTAGCTCATAATAAAAGTTGAAAATTCTTTCGTTTTATAACAAACCAACAACTACAAAGTAATAATCAATATTTGTACTACCTGTAGTACCTCATTATTTGTGTGTGAAACGTGCTACTAAAAAGTTTGTATTTTCATTTCATACAGACAAATGAAAATCAGTACCATATTTTTTTTTTATTTGGAAATACCACCATTCACGAATAATACTCACCTTTGCTAAACCTAGAATGAGATTCCTGAAAGCTGTATCAGTGATGTCACTTTTTATGTCATCCATTAAATCTGACTCATATTTGTCTGAATACGCTGTCTTTATGGCGCTGATAGCCTGTGAGAATAATAGAGAAATAATAACAATGAGGTATGACAACAAACAGAAAATAATTAGAAAGCTAAGGGGCCTTTTGAGTCAAGAAGTCACAATTAAGATCAGTTTTTTTAAACATATACTCACCGCATTATTTCTTGTGCAGAGAATTTCTATAAGAGTAGCTTCAAGCGTACCGATACCCTGGAGGAAGAAATAGAATCAACTTAAAAACTAAATGACCTCAAAAAACGAATTAATTAAGATGCAAATCATCTTATCCCTAAAAATTCCAGCTATTTAAAATAGAAGATATATTTTTTATTTTTAAGTTTCAAAATTCATAATTCAACCATCTTAAGGACTGAGGTATACCTTGGGATCCAAGATGAATATTTATATTTATGTAAAACCATGATTACTGTAGCGCTTACCTTCAATGCATGTTGTAGACACCTTGCATCATATTCTTCTCGTTCTAAAATTAACGCGTGTATTGTATCATCCCAATCTTCATTCAGTTTTACTTTTATTTCCTCTAACAAATCCTAATTGAGTGAAATAATATTAGAAAGAGGTGTTTATTTGTATTATCATTATAACTGTATCATTTGCTGACATCATATGGAAAAACAATTAGAAATATTAAATTATTTATTTATCTTATATTACCGGTACTTTCAAATTTGTTTATCAATTCTTTTAACAAAGTCAAGTTGATAACCAATTTTAAATAATAATTCTTTGGAACCCAGATTTTTAAAAGACCGTCAACACTTACCAGTTCATATTCAAGTTCAAATCTCTGCCTATTGGCTTGTCGCTGTTTGTATCTTCTCCTTGCAAGAGCTTTCACAACTGCTGATTCAGCATTTCCTAAAACAAAGGAGATGAGAAATGTTATTTCTGGAAATGAAAAAAAAACTATAAAAAAAAAACAAAGGTTCTGCTTATTTCAAAGTGGGATGGCGCTGTTTAAAGGATGGTTTCTGGGAAAACAAAAGTTTTAAATAGTAATAGTTTGAGGGCAGTGCAAAAGTTGATTAGTGGAGGATTCATAACAAAATATCAATAATAACCTATTTAGTTTAAAAAAAAAACATTATCTGGTTTAATTTAATTCAGTAAAGTAGTAAGAAACAGGAAAATAGGATCAGGATTATTAATGGAGTGGAAAAATGTGAAGAACAAATACCTGTTTCACTCAGCTTAGGTAGAGTGTCAACAGCTGTCAGTTAGATAAACACAGAGAGCAGAAAATCATCAGTCATAGAATAATGAAGAAACAAAGTTAAAGTTTGTAAATATTAAAATGTGAAATTTTGCTGAAAAAACAAACAAACCATGCCATGCAGATAATGCGTCTCTCTTTGTAGGTGAATATTCGCAATGATTTTATTACAGTTCACAGGTCAAGCTTAAAATTCAACTCGTACTATAGACTATTATAGTACATATAAGGGGTCAGTAGCGCTGAGTAAATCAACCGCACCTATAATATTCTAAACATGATATGTGCATAACAATAGCGATGAGCACACTGACTGTTAGCCTTACCCATTCCTTTTGTGGCTTTAAATAGAATGGCAGCGTCCCCTTTCTCGTCGTATCTCTGTCCCCTCGCTATGGCAACTTCTTTCTGTAAAAAGTCACAAACGTCAATTCACAGATTTGGTTAGTCAGGTGAAACTGAATGTTAATCGTTGACAAGGAATGAAGTCGGTATAAACGTAATTTCAATACAGTGACCACAAACCAATTTGTAATGGATGTAAAGAATAATGAGTTGTATTCACCTTTCTTTTCGCCTCTTCTTTCTTCCTTTCTTGGCCAAGTAAAGGAAAGTGGGTGTGTTGTTTCTTTGTTATCGGCCTCTTATCTGACTTCTCTGTCTTCTTCTTCTGTAAATCAAAATGAAACGAAGAATCATGACAGATTAACTTTTAACCATTTATAACTGATGCCTAATTGTGACATATGATCACTTGAGTAATGCTTGCATATACTCTACATGTGAATATACCTATTAGGTCAGGTCTATCACTCTACTATATACTGCAGGACAGACAGTAATTTTTTAAGTGACCATGCATTCATACTTCAGAAGGATGCTGATGCCAGATGATATGTGTTACATAACAACAATAGACTTTTCCCATATACCTAATTACATTTCACTTTATTAAGACATTTTTGAGTCAAGATACAGATGAGTTTTGTTTTGTTTTGATGACATTTGTTAACACAGACTAACAGCAATTATTGAGATTGTTATTCAGTAATGTAAATATTTTCTAACATATGACATTCACAATGTAATCGACATGATTTCTCGCTCAAAACCAAAATTTTGACTTACTGAAGGTGCAGCTGAAGCTGTTTCATCATCCGCATCTGACTCATCTTCAGATTCATGCTGTTTCTGTGCAATAAATAAAATATCAATCAATTCTACATGTATATTTTCTCATTCATTCAAATTAAGGGGTACATAAGATGAAAGATAAGAGGTAATATCGGAAATCTATGATAGCATATAAACAGCAGGTGCCGGGCTGTCAAAAATGACGGAATTTACGCACATTTTATATTCTGGATATAGAGGCAAGATTTTTCTTTATAATATTTTATTTCTGGGTCAATTCGAGAGTTGGAAGTGTTAAGTCTTGTTTAATGCGCATCGTGAGGAATACAAATAACATGGTCATTTTGCAAAATATATTTTGGTACACTGTATTAAATAAAATTACAATCCAGAATTACATTATTGGGTAGTCATAGACTAAAACTAGAATTGCAAATTAAATAACTGTTTTAATTACTGCATTACTATTCATGTTAGTCGTCACTTTCACCTGTCTGGCGTATCAGGATACTTCCTGCCTCATTTGCATCACCGTGAGCAACACAGGAAATTAAAATTCTGTGCAGTAGTGCATCCATCAATCTCAATCACTCAAGAGGCTGCCATGGTGACAGACCCAAACAAAGAAGCAGCCATACTTGAAGTAATACAATGAAAATAAAGAAATAACACTAGTGTACTGTCTCTTTAATTTTAAAATGGTCTGTTTAATTCTTGCGGAACGTTCCCAATGAAAACCAAATCTACCATCGTTGGTTTCTAATGCCCTTACAAACTTACTTCTGTTTTTTCAGCTTCGTCTTCACTTTCTGATTCTATACCTTCCGTTCGAGAACAATAAAGTTCATAGTCTTTTGTTTCTGCTGCCTTCATTTGTAGGTAATACTGATGTAACACGTATTCGTCTTCCTGTAATGAACGACACAATCGGTTTCGCCATTAGTATTCAAACACATGCATTTATTCTGCTTCAATTGTGAAGGTCAAATATATTCATTTAGCAATCAAAATGGTTTATATACAAATTTTTCGGTAACCCATACAGGTTTAATGTTTAACAGAACTATAAATTTGCCATTTGTTATAATAAACACACTGAAGCATATTCAAAAGGAACAGATGAAAACCAATACTCACCCATTTGTCAGGCTTATAATAAGAAGAAATTTTTGTAAGTCGTCTCATGATATTTTGGTTTTCTTGTTCTATCTTGTGGATTTGTTTCTCCATATACGGCCGATTTAAACTATTAATAAAAGTTTAAATAAGCAGTTAGATTGAGAAGAGGAATATAATATTCATAATATTCTACAAAGCATGTGTGATATTTTATTTACTCTAGTAGAGCTACATCCCCAATAAAAGTACATGTAAACACAAACAATTTTAATTGTATTGGGACCACCTCAAACGAAAACAGTTTTTGTTCTGTTTTTTTTTTTTTTTTGGCTTTCATATTTGTATGAACTTCTAATAAATGTTAAGTATAGAAAGCATTAGTCTTCACTAAAATTTAATTACTCAATTTTAAATTAATTGCTTGGACTTGTTAAATGAAACCAAAGAAATTCTACAACATAATAAAACTAATAATCTGACATACTAGTATATGTGAACCTGGTACAATGTAAATACACATCAACAACAAAATCAAATTAAAGAAAGCTTAAAAAGAACCCCTGTGTGCTGAGAAGACATAATAAAGAATTAATTAGCCTTCCAAATAAGAAGCTTGGCAACTAATTTGTGTCTGCTATTGGAGAGGTACAAGTGAAAACAATGTGATTCACATTATTGAAGTTTATAATACATACAGAAAATACATTTGATTTTACATTTGAAAGTAGTCATAACATTAACACCACAAACGCCGCACCCAAACAGATACATTAACTGTTAAGACTCCCATTGTGTGTTTCACACACACGAGTCAAAAATTGTATTGCATTTCTCAATTAAGAGCATCAGGTCAATAACCAAGATCAATGACTATCTCTGTAGATCGGTGAAATAAAGTTCACACACACCAGATTTAAAACACTATATATCTGTGTTGTTTGTTACTATGGTGATGGGATAAAAACTTCAAATTGATGATAGGGATAGAAACTTCAATCACTTTAATGTACATCTTTCTCATAAGATTAAAAAAAATGTTACTTCACAATGACAAAAGAGTTAATTAATGTTGATTGAAAACATTTAATTTTTTGTTCATGTTAATTTTATTGTTAATTAAAGCATGGCAGCTGCTGTGCTGTGTTGTGCTGTGCTGTGCTGTGTTAATACGAATCTCACAAATACATTTTTGTTTACATAAAATTATGACGCACGCTTTCACAATAAGTGTATTTTAGTCTGTTTTAATTTATACATACAATTAAGTAAACATAATGTGTTTATGAAATGTTTGAAAAACTGATTACTTAGAGATCAGGGAAATTATTACCAGTATTAATAACACGCTTTATATGTACTGAAATTATTAGCAAAATTATTGCTGTATTATAAAAGAAATAAACGAACTAACAAATATTTGACAAAGACCAGTTGCATGAAACTATAGATTTGAACCACTGTACAAACCGTTAATTGCTATCCAATACTGTTGGTTACTATAGAAACAATTACCATGGTAACCAAATATCAGATGTCACTAAGGTTGTTCTGAGTCACATGTAGTTCACTCGCCGTGTATATAGCAAATAGATCCATCAGCTGCATTGTAAATAACCTTAAGGGGTTGTTGGGTGTTGTGGCAAGGCGAATAAAGAGAGGGTTAATTGGGGGAGGGTTGCGTCTCACCTTCTTGGTTCATGTTCCAAATTCCAATTGTCAATATTACCATGAGACCTGCAAACCTGAGTTAATTTGGCTAAAAGTATTCTATTTTCATGTTCTATTGTTGCTTGCCTCTCCTCTTCTGCCTGTTGATGAATAAAAAAAAATGATTTTATATTTGCGCTGGAACAGTAACACAGATCTGCCTCAGATATGATAAATTTTCTTAATACAATTTATTTTTTTACTTGTCAGATATATTCATGATAACATTTCTGAGAATCTTTGTGTATATAGTATTCATATCACAACCACCACATAGCAACCAATGAAGACAATCAACAATTTTATTTTGCCATTCTCATTTTTGTTGTTGTAATTTTTCGTTTTGTTTTTTTTCACCACCAGACTTTCTCGCAAATATAGTCCTGCACTTTTTTTCTTATATTATTTAATATTTCTAGAAAAGAACTCAAATTTTGGAGCCAACAGACAAAATTTGAGTAAATTTTCTGCTATTAGGAACTCAAAAAATTTGGCAATTTTTGTCCCAATCTTCTGAAGGAAAGTGCAGATTATAAAGAGGGAACTGGTGGTGAAAAGGTTAAAACTATATTTTACGACAGTGACATGAACTTTTCTAGACATTAAAACTATCACTTTTTCTAATTTAGTATCCTAGATACAAGACTCAACATACTTGTACATTACTTGGCAACACACTCATAAAATTTTCCGAAGAGAACACCAAGGCGAATGAAAAACAATGATGAACAAGCTCCATCAATTTTGGAAAAAGAGCTTTCAGGTGTCATTCAAAACAGGTCAAAAGACTTGTTTAAGATGAATTTTGTTCACTGTCAATAACAGAACTAGTCAATATAATTAAGATTGATTCAACCTTTTAAGATAATTATGATCCATTTGCAATGCCCCTTGCATCTATAGCAATTAACTTCCACTACACAATAAACATTTTAAAAATCCCATCTTACCTGTATTTTTTTTAACCTGAGCTGCAGATGTAAATAATTTTTTGGTGTTTTGTTGTCTAAGCCTGCTCTCATACCTCGCATCTGAAAAAAAAAAAAAAATTAAATAATCAATAATTTCCTGACATATGAATTTAGTTTATTAGCAAATATTATTCACTGACTATTGATGAAGACTTTAACTCATTGATAGCCAATTAAAACAAAATTGTGATGTTTTTCAGAAGTTGGCCTGAATACAAAAATGTTGACGTATCTAACAGGAAATTATGTCAGTTTCACTTCAAAATTATAGAAATTATAAGAAATTATAGAAAAATACATAACAATGATGAACCAAAATTTGGCAGGAACGCATTCAAAGACGTACATGATTCTTTATACAGAGGTTCTATTTATGAGAATTATTAAATTCTGATTGCCACCATATTGTAAAATTCAAATCTCACCTTCAATCTTACTAATTAATTTACAAGCAATCTAATGAATAAATAATGAGACTATAGCATCAAGGGTGATTTAGTTTTTTAATAAACACGAAAATATTATTAATATTGGTATTAGAACAATTAGCATTGAAAATTGGGCTGAAGTATAATTTCCAAAATTATACAATACTAATTGTTGTAGTACATCATTAATTACTATTTTTTTTATGTGGATCCAACAATTGTTAAATATATATATTCTGTAAAAGAAAATTCAAATCAATGTGCTATAAATGAGACAACTACCTAACAGACAGTCACCTATCTATTACTTCAGAACTGAGCATAGATACATGTGACATATGATGATTACGACAACAATAAATTAACATATGTATGTAAGTCTAGAGTCTATATGATGAAGTTACAAATCATTTACTGTGGGTTTCTTTATGTTTAGCTAGAAGTTTTCACTGAAAACAGTAAACCGTAGAGACATGTAATTTATTTTCAACAATTTTTGTTTTCACTGCATCTTAGCTTTGCTCATATATCTTGTGAAAACGCCATATACACAAACGACCAGGAGCAGTACATTTCAAAAGGAAATAAAATTTTGCATGGGTTTTATTTGGGTGGATTATAACACTCTTGAAAACTAAACTAAGTTTTTGCTGCATATATGAATAATTTGTTTGCATCAATAATCTGAGTTCACTGGACAGAATATATTTCCATTCCACCACAATATTTCCTGTCGCTAAGGCCTGTACATATCCATGCCCGAGAATATTTCTGTAATGTCTTTGTTAATCTCTACATCAAGTTCAATCGTCCCAAACTTTGACCAAAATGTGAGTAATTTCTGTAAAATGACCTGGTAATAATGACAACATAATTAAAAAAATAACAAAAATTGCTAACAGTTTTCATAAAACATTGCAAGCACAACTTAATAACAAACCAATTATTTGATAAAATAATGGAGTTATTAAAAAAATGAAATAAGCTTAAGATAGTTAGGGGTAAGACCCTGCAAATCTGGAAAGCGCAAAGAGCAGCGTATTTTAATGAAGTAGTATTAGGCAGGGGGCAGTTTCCATCCTTACTAAATACAAGATAAGTACATCAAATGATTGATATCAAAAAGCCTGTTGCCTGGCAACACAGACTAAGACTGATGTTAAAATCAGTAGCTATTTTCAATGGTTTTATTTTGGTGGTATTAAATACACATTAATAATTGAACACATTATTTTGAGTCCAGGAAAACTAAAATGTAAAAGTGTCATCCATTTATCTCCTAAATATGGCATTTAGCTGCGGACAGAATCACATAATTTATTTCAAGTATTTGCTGAAAAAGTGAAGTATTGACAGTGAAAAAAACGATTCATGTTTGGAGTGATTAGCCATTTTACTGGTAATTTATCACAAAACAGTGTGTCACCTGCCCATGTCACATACAATTCCAGACAACGATCAAATCAAGTCAGAAAAAAAATCTTATCCAAAGTAATGAAAGATAATATAATTAAACATATCAGTTCTGCATTTAGATTAGAGTAACCATCCAAAATGACAAGCTGAATGGAAAGTCTGATCTAATCTGATCTAATCTAATCTAATCTATAATAATCTAAGTATAAATAGATAGCTTCCTGTGTGTGTCTTTAGCCAAAGCATTGGAAATGTTATAATATAATTCACAACATAGAACTGTTGCCAGGGTCCATCTTTTGAATTACTATGGCAAATATTTGTCATATGGAAAACTATTCCCACAGTCTATTATCATAAAAAAACAGAAAGAAATATTTTCTCGCTTAGTTTGATTCTGTATTCGAATGTAATTCACAAAAGTGAATGGATTCATTGTCACATAGTTACTGCACTTCACCAGGCATATTAGAACCCAGCGGCTTTCATGAGAGCCGCTGAAGCAAAGTGGTTTGCAAACACTTCTCCTTCAAAGTTCAAATACTACAGACTTTAAAAGGACATTGTGAAATCGACAACAGAATAATGTTGATTTCTAGTTATCAGGAGAACTTCCCTATTGTTATAGAGCACCCTCTAAGATGAGGCATCTGTTATTTGTTCAATTATTTTTGCCGTAATTGTTCCAGTTGCCAAGGATACTGATCAATAATAAAAGAATTCAGTTGTCAAGGAGATGATATCTATTGATACAGACACCCATCTTTGACCTCAATAATCTACAGTAAATAAAACATTAGGATCTCTATACCACGCCTGTTGACTCAAGATTTGATTCTCGATAATAACGAATAACTACTGAAATTAGCATTTATTTAAAAAAAAGGGAAATTTAAAAATGTGCCACCAGGATCTGATATGTTCTCTGAATATAGAAATTCATCACAATGGGGAGGAAATAAACACTACTGCAGTTTTTCATGTTGGAAATTGACATTAACCACAAGTTATAACTTTATAAATGGTATCAAAGAAGCATGCTGAGGCAATGTTAAGCAAAAAATGATGCCAAACCCTAAGCAAACTACAAATACAT